AGGGAGCATGATGTCAGATGACTGATGAATAAAGGACTTATTTAAGTCACAAACATTTAGCTGGTTTTCGCTTCTAGTCTGCCTGTCCCCTGTAATTTCTTTAAAGAGTTTCCACATACTTGGAGAGCTTCTACAAGATAGGAGTTTTTGAGTGAACACACAGTTGAGACGTCTAATCTCTTGGTTTATTTGATCATTTAACTTACGAACTTCAATAGTGTTTTTCTCCTTGTACATCCTTTCTTTTACCCTCCGTAGTCGTTTTAGTTGTGGAGATGTAAGTCGATCAAAACTTAAAAAGAAGGTTTCGGTAGGACAGCAAATATCAAAACAGAATTTAAGATAAGAGGTGATGACATCCGTTGTGTTTTCTATTGAGTCATCTGTAAGTACTTCCCAGTTGGTCGTACGAAACATGTTTTTCAGATTTTGTAAATTTTCTTCTGAGTAACTCCTATATATTACTTTTTTGGTATGGAGTATGTGTGTACTCTTTCCATGTTTACCATATACTTTAGGCAGGACACGAATTATACAGTGATCCGAACTAGACAATGGAGCACGTTTGCGAGTCACATAGGCACCCACATCATTAATGAAAACCAAGTCTAGATGAGCATTCAAACGAGTAGGAAAATCTACTACATTTAGGTGACCTAGTGATGTAAGGAAGCTACAGTCACATGAATTGAAATCACCACATACAATTGAAAGTGAATCACTGAAGGCAGTAACGGCGAATTCAGTAAATTTATCAGTGAAGACAGATAGCGCAGATGATGTGCAGTCTGGAGTCATGTAGATATTGGTAACATAAATATATTTGTATTTATTCAGGTGTTTTGGACGGCACCTTAAAGTTAGACAGTCAATAAAGTCGTTTGAAAACTTGAAACAGGCAAAAGTAGATCGACACCAGTTAACGTTTACAAAAGTAGCTACTCCGCCACCACAAGTCTTTTTATTGTTTGATCGATCCTGACGATAGATATTAAAATCACGTAATGACACTAAGCAATCATCCTGTAAGTCAGTTAACCAAGATTCTTGAATTGTGATGACACCACAATTACGATACATGTTTTGACTTAGCAGAAATTGGAGATAGTCCACCTTGTTAATTAGTGATCGACAGTTAGAGTTAAGTAGCTCGGGAATCGACATTTGATTGATGTTTATTCTCTTTAAAGCATATTGCCAACCACCACGATGTCTCTTATTGTGCTTGTTTGTAATTTTTGCAGCGAAAGGACATAAGCTTTTTATAAACGCGCCTGTGTAGGTTATGCGATTAATAGACATAATGATAGGTTAAAACAAATTAAAAAAAACCCAGATAACTTGTTGAAATATTTAGATGGCAGAAACAGGTAGCCCAGGTATTCAAGCAGGCCGCCTTTTTTTTGAGTGTGCTATTTTGTAATGCTACTCAAGGACAATTTATTGCTGTATAAATATGTTGTATCCCCTGGCGAATTAAGAATCATAAATCTGAGGTCCATTTATGGACAAATACAATATGCCCATTCCCTATTGGATAGTTGTTAAATAAGTGACCTAATCGTTTCCGTGTTCCTCTTATCATAACCTTTATTTTGACCTTGGAACTATTATTATTGATTACTTTCCCCCTAGCTACAGCCACATTGGCCAATTACTGTAGAAATGTTATTTTTCTATTTTTGATATATGTGGTCTGTTTGGTTAGTATATATAACCCAGTATGCTTGTAAATAATGATTCATATTTCCGAGGCTGTTATTTGTGTTCTGGACTCAACTGGCTGGGCTAGGCAGTTAGGAAGGACCGAATAGCAATCAAGATTGCTCGTACGTATTTTCTGTATCTAGAAACTAGATTAGAATGATATTCAATAATCTAATTGATAGAACAATCTAATAGATATAACAATTTATTCATAATAGTTATTGTATAAACATTAAAATTAAATTAATGAACAAGGAAAACAACCAAAACAACAACAACAACAACAACAACAATCGAAAATACAAAACTCAAAAAGAAACTTTGAACTGAATGATAAACAAACAAACAAACAAAAGTACTTCAGTAAAATATATAAACAAAAAGAATAATGAAACTTACTAAGATCAATGGAAATCTGATTGAATACCATTAATAATAATAATAATCAAGTTAATAACAGAATTGATATTCTCTATTTTAAAAAAATCTGTGAAATAAGATTCAAAGCATAATCTTTCAATATGCCAGGGTAAATGAAAATATAATAAGGGGGGAGGGAGGGAAGAGAGGGGGAAATATGGTGAGTGGGTGGGTGGGTGGTTGATGAGAAGGAAATGAATAATTATTATATAAATAAGTAGATAAATCAAGTAGTATCTATGAGAAACTTTATATATTTTTAAATACATATTTTATGATGGAAGTAGTTTTCGCATAGGTCATATATCATTATGTATTGAAAAGAATTCTGTAAAATGCAAAATAGAAAAAGAAGTAAACTATGAATAAAAAAGATTAAATGAGATGTTATTGCTGCCCTCTCGACTATAGAGGGTTTCTGGAGACATAGATTTTCTGGTTTATATCATGAGTTGATCTTAGTAAGACAAACACTATAATATATGTAGTGTTGGACATTTGTTTAGTCTTAGTATTAAAACTTCTCAATAGTCAACATGCAGTGCCTTGCGAGAGATGAAACAAAGAGTCTTTTAGCGTCATGGCAAGTGCGAAATTACTTAGTAGTTATTCTATGCGATATTGTGCAACCAAATGTCAATATCATTTACTGGTAGGTAGGTAACTGCCTCACATTCTGTATAAGTGAATTTCATTAGTCACTGACTGTCACTATTCTCAATGCCCCCAAATGCCCTGGTACAGCCGAAGGTGGGGAGAGTGCGGTCTCCCTCTCGAAATGCTCTCACATGGCCACGCGAATATATAGCCTCTGCCAAGGAAATCCTACTCACTGCCTTCTCGTGGTATTACTGTTGTTTACGAAATTGAGAGGACGAAAAGCGAATGTCCGGCGCTTTAACCGGGTTGGTGGAAACGGAAAGTTCACCTAGAGGAGTTGGAAAACCTTTATTCCAAACCAATGGTGTACATGATCTCCAGTATCCTGAAGGAACAAATGGTGTATGAATCAATCGTTGGTCACCGGCTACCATGGTACTGCATCTCCTCACGATGTCCCACTGCATTTCCGACTAGGCCTTCAGATCAAAGGCTCCGGGTGTGGCCCCCTAAGAAAACCACGTGCTTCACTCTGGGCAGTATCACATCCCTCACACAAATCAAATGAGACTTGTGTGGCGCATATTTATCTGGTGCTTCCTTGTATTAATATTTTTGTGTTTATATAAAATAAAATAAAGTATTCTCAATTGAACAGAGAAAAATCTATAGAATTCATGTGACATACGAATGAATTGCTTTTAATCATCCTATCCATTGTTGCATATATGATTAATGATAAGGTTTTTCTTTTCTGTATAACTGATTAGTGTATATTTATCTATCTTATCTCATTTATTATTTTCATAGTTGGAAGCATGAGTCAATTGAAAGCTAGACCACCAACGAAAACCTGGAAGCACTCGACGGCCGTTTCGTCCTATTGTGGGACTCCTCAGCAGTACGCACCCACGATCTCACCTCGTGAGATTCGAACCCAGTCTCGCACCAGAGCACTTAACCGATAGACCACTGAGCCGGAATCCGATGGTGTTAATGTCTAACTTCAACCAATCCACGAAGTTGAGTAACCGTTCAGTAATTGTCTTCAGTGAGTCCCTATCTCACATCATATGTGGTTGAACTTCACTGGTTACTGCTTCTCACTAGAACTCCAGGAAGTATTATTTAATCCCACAACTCAACAAAATTGTTGTGATATACGGTATCCGTGACTTGGCACTAAGACGTACTTTTCTTATACACACAAGCTCAGCTAGAAGAAAAGTGAAGGTAGTTTGTTTGGCTGAATGAGTCACGAAACAATTGCACACTCGTTTATATATATATATATATATATCCCTTAGAAAATTCAGCTTATCACCGGTTTAAGTCTCATCCTCTACAAAATATATAGACATCCCTTGACCAATCACAAGCATTTTCCATTTTAGTGATTCCTAACTGGCAAGATATATGTTATATCTAGAGTTTTAGATTCTTAATATGCCGCGTACTACTAGACTACTTGAATGATCGAACCCGTAACCTCGCAAGAGAGAACACAGAAAACTAATAAGTAGGAATGTTATTCCCAAAACAAATATATAGTACAACAATCTCATGTATTTATAGTTTTTCGCTGAAAGCAAATCATCATTTCGGACAGCCAATAGGAACATAGGGGATCTTTCTTATTTATCCAATAGGGAAGCTACATGTCGACATTCTAGAATGTACTTTTAGCAGTGACTGGATGGAATGTCTTCGGCGCTTTCTAGGCTTCCTTGAGTTTTCCAACGAGTTATCCTTACAATAACAATGTGCTTTCTTCAATTAGAGATTTCTAATATACTCAACTGGATAAAATACATCGCATGATTGATTGTTATATCAATTCATATATATATATATATTATTTAGTGTTTCAATAGGATTAGCCAGACTAATACAGTTTATATACGTTAAATTTTTAGGAACATCTGATGCCTGAATGAAAAATGAAGAAGGTAGATTTAAGAAAAATTTAGACCGACTTTAGTTTTGGTGAAACAAAAAGGAATCTCGTCGGTATTCATTGTGATTGGCTGTAGTTACATCTTGTCGAATGAGTTATAAAGATAGATATAATATTTGTAACGACTGAGAAAAAGGTAACTGAATTCCTTAACCGTTCATATTGAAGGGAACAAATGTTAAGCTAGATACGATTATACAAATATATATGGAAATAAACTTACCATGGTTGCCAATATTATAGATAAAGAGCGATAAAACATCGAGACATATATAATTATATAGAAGGGGAGAGGCGCGGTAAAATAGAGTTAAATTTAATCAGACCAACTGAGACTAGATAATGAACTCCAACTGCCCCATCTTGGACCCATGAATCCACCGCCAAAACCCCCAAATAGACGACTTGCTAAATAACCACCAGCTACTCCTGAAGCAAGACCTACACACACATAAATAAGAATAGTGTGTAAATTATTCAGTAAAAACTTGGCTGGCTTATTTGTACAATAAAAGAAAGGTTCTTTATTAATACCATATTGTTAAACATTTATTGGAAATTTTACACGAAATAAATATTGCAGTCAAACAGGCTTATAACTATGAGGCAATCAATCAGGAAAGCTATTCCATTTAGTCAATCATTATTCAGAAACCTAAATCCTATTGGTAACCTTAAGCTTATCATGAGCGTTCAAAAGACAACATTCTATTAGGATATATGAGCTTCGAACTTGTAACAACTTTCTTGTCCCTGATTAATGCATCCTTATAAGTTAGCTTTACCAATATTCACACAACTTTCGAAATAAACATGACTAACAACGGATTATGCTCTTATTTTGCTTAGCGAAATTCATTTTGGCCAAATGTGTTCGACTTGACCTGACCGTAGATGTTAACTCGACATGGTGATCGGGTTTCCTAATCGTGATGAACCATTCGACCCATATTAGCTGGAAAACTTGTTCCTTCAGGTCGGTTAGAAAACACCTGTTACTCCTCATAGAGGAACATAGGCTGCCCGACAAAAAGAATGTAACAACAGTAACGAATCAAAATATCGGGTAAAAAAGACACAAATATAGCAAGCAAGTTACTAATTGAAATGCAATCTCTGATAAACTCTACACTGTAGTATGCAACGCTCATTTACTGAATGCGCAAAGGAACAAAAATGGTCGGAAGTGTTGAATAAAATAAACACACTCATTAAACACTGAAGACATTGCAAACAGTCTTAACCTGTATCATTTATTCTATGCGTTATTTGTATTGGAATATTACATTGCACCATGATGTTAGTTATGTCCATAACTAATCAATCAAATTGTTGCTTAAGCTCCCACCTCGTCAATCTGATCTGATATGTCTGTAAACTATCCCTGTTGCATGTGACTTACCAATTGAAAGACATTATTATCTTATTATATTAGTGTGACTCATAAATTTTATTCATTTTATTAAGACACGCAATACTGGTCGGTATGTTTGTGCGTTTCATTTAATGACTGTGATTCTTTAATTATTGTACTAATCTAATTGTTTTTATGTTCAGAAACAGATAAAGTTTAAAGTCAAGTTGTCCTTGTTCTGACTATGGCTTTCACATAGACTCTGGGATCGCCAGTATCGCGTTTACAGTTTTAATAGTATATCTGTAGGACGAAATAAATCCTACACATGATATTATTAATTTTGTAAACAAATAATAGATTACACACTTGCGCCCGAGACTGACAGGTCTTGGGTTCGAATCTCGCGATGCGGGATCGTGGATGCGCACTGCCACTGAGGAGTCCTACAATAGGACGAAACGGTCATCCAGTGCTTTTAGGTTTTCCATGGTGGTCTAGCTTTAATTGATTCATGATCTCAACTATTGAAGCAAATAACTGTTTACTATAGAATTCATAGTGGAAAATGAATGGTTGTTTTGATCAAATATATAGTGACCTTGAATCGTATTGGTTATTTGTTATAACAACAAAACTGATCGATTCTTGTTAATTTTGTTTAAATGCGTTTTATTATAAAGGAAACAAAATGACTTCTCCTGATAAATCATCATAGGAAGTATTAATCTGAATAGGATATATAGGAGGCTATGATCATTGAAAATTTAGTGAGAAATAAAATAAATAGTTGAAAGCGTGAGTCAATTGAAGCTAGACGATCAAGGAAAACCTGGAAGTACTAGACGGCCGTTTCGTCTCATTATGGGACTCCTCAGCAGTGACATTAACACCGTTGGACGCCGGCTTAGTGGTCTATCTGTTAAGTGCTCTGGCGCGAGACTGGTAGATCCTGGGTTCGAATCTCGCGAGTGCGGGATCGTGGATGTTCACTGCTGAGAAGTCCCATAATAAGACGATACGCTCTTCCATTGCATTCAGGTTTTTCTTGGTGGTCTAGCTTCAGTTGGCTCAGGTTTTCAACTATGAAAATACTAAATCTCCACGAAACCCCTTCTGATAATTAAATAACTTAAAGCCAATTGGTATTATGGAATAAAAGGTATTCCTTTTTATTTTACAGAATATACATGTCAACACTATGGTATAAGTTTAAATGGAGGTAGTGGAGAAGATTCGTAAATTGAAAGTTGGGGTTTTTTGAAGCTGGATGATTTTACGAGAGCGATTGACTACTAAAACATTGTGAAAGTTCTTTACTCAAACACTAGCATTTGAGTTAGAACTTATGGTTTCAATCTTATTTCTTTACAGCGTAGGTCTAATTCAATAGTTCATAGAAGTTAAATAACAATTTAAGTATTTAAAAGACATGTACAGATATAGTATAAATTGAACAGATGAAATCGATGAGCAACCTACGAGTGTCGTTGGTGGAGGATGAAACACCAAGCAGTTCCTATCATTCTACGATGCTCAGATTAACAGTTAATAAGTTTAAATAAGTTGGTGTCTTGATGTCTTAGTCTGCCTCGTGTTCTTGATTATTTTTTCAAACTACTCTTTTAAATAGACCAGCATCGGTTATCAGTGTACTAATTATGTACCAAGATGATAGACTAGGTATTTGTAGCCCCTAAGTAAAAGTTTACATATTCTCTTTTAATGGAATAACTCCGCCTGTAGCTCCTCTGGGGGTTGCTGCCGGTCCCAAGCGCGGGTAAAGGAGGAGGGTTAGGCATGGGGTTAGCGACCCCATCCCGTAGAAAAGCTAACTGGCTAAAAAAACGCTAACCAGAAAAAATAATTCAAACCATTTAAACTCTGCCCTGGGAGTTGAAGGAATAATTATGACGTCTCATGATGAAAGCCGAAATTCTTCGGAAGTCACCAGACCGATGCACCTTCTAACAACCAGAGCAACACTCTTTATAGGTACATGGAACGTCCGGACAATGTGGGAGACAGGAAAGACCAGCCAAATAGCAACGGAAATGAGGAGATACAACTTGGCAGTACTCGGAATCAGCGAAACCCATTGGACACAAACTGGACAACAAAGGTTAGGTACAGGAGAGATGCTGCTGTATTCCGGTCACGAAGGGGAAAATGCGCCACACACTCAGGGAGTTGCTCTAATGCTGTCCAAAGAAGCACGAAATGCACTTGTGGGATGGGAATCTCATGGACCCAGGATAATCAAAGCATCATTCAGAACAAAGAAGCAAGGGACCACAATGAACGTTATCCAATGTTATGCACCCACCAATGATAGCAGCGACGATGATAAAGATCAGTTCTATGAAAGGCTGCAATCAATTATAGAGAAGTGCTCACGAAAGGACCTCACCATCCTGATGGGAGATCCAAATGCTAAAGTTGGAGTGGACAACACAGGATATGAAGATGTAATTGGACGACATGGATTAGGAGAGAGAAATGAAAATGGGGAGAGACTTGCAAACCTATGTGCTTTCATCAAATTGGTTATAGGTGGCACAATATTCCCACACAAGCGTATACATAAAGCTACATGGATTTCACCGGACCAAACCACAGAGAACCAGATTGATCACATCTGTATCAACAAAAAATTCCGAAGATCAATGGAAGATGTGAGAACCCGGAGAGGAGCTGACATAGCTTCAGATCACCACCTGATTGTGGTAAAGATGAGACTGAAGCTAAAGAAACACTGGACAACTGGACAAACAGCACTACAAAGGTTCAATACAGCCTTCCTTCGAGATACTGAAAAACTCAACGAATTCAAGATAACTCTCAACAACAGGTTTCAAGCTCTACAGGATCTACTGAACGAACAAAAAACTACTTTGGAGGACAACTGGAAAGGGAAAAAAGAAGCACTAACTTCAACGTGTCAGGAGGTTCTTGGTCCTAAGAAGCATCATCACAAGGAATGCATCTCTATGGGAACCCTGGACAAAATTCGAGAAAGGAAGAACAAGAAACTAGCAATTAACAACAGTCGAACACGAGCAGAGAAAGTCAAAGCACAAGCAGACTACGCAGAAGCAAACAAGGAAGTGAAGAAAAGCATTAAAGCCGACAAGCAGAAATACATGGGAGAACTAGCAACGACGGCGGAAAAAGCTGCAAGAGAAGGGAATATGAGACAACTGTATGATACAACGAAGAAATTGGCAGGAAGATGTAGCAAACCAGAGAGACCAGTCAAGGATAAAGAAGGAAAGACAATCACTGAGACTCAAGAACAGAGGAAAAGATGGGCAGAATACTTCGAGGAACTGCTGAATAGACCAGCCCCATTGAATCCACCGAACATCGAAGCAGCCCACACAGACCTTCCAATAGATGTCACTCCACCAACGATCGAAGAAGTCAAGATGGCCATCAAACAAATCAAAAGTGGGAAGGCGGCAGGACCTGACAATATACCAGCAGAAGCATTGAAGTCAGACATTGAAATAACTGTAAACATGCTTCACCTTCTATTCAAGAAGATTTGGGAAGAGGAACAAGTGCCAATGGACTGGAAAGAAGAATATCTCATCAAGATACCAAAGAAAGGAGATCTGAGCAAATGTGAGAAGTACAGAGGCATCAGTTTGTTATCAGTACCAGAAAAAGTCTTCAACAGAGTGCTGCTGAATCGGATGAAAGACGCAGTAGACGCCGAACTTAGGGATCATTAGGCTGGATTCCGTAAGGATCGGTCGTGCACAGACCAGATTGCGACACTACGGATCATCGTTGAACAATCAGTTGAGTGGAACTCATCACTATACGTCAACTTCATTGACTATAAGAAGGCGTTTGACAGCGTGGACAGGAGAACATTATTGAAACTTCTTCGACACTATGGAGTTCCTGAAAAGATTGTCAACATTATCCAAAACTCATACGATGAACTACAATGCAAAGTCGTGCATGGAGGACAGCTGACAGATGCATTTCCAGTAAGGACCGGAGTCAGACAAGGCTGTCTACTCTCCTCATTTCTCTTCCTCCTAGTGATTGACTGGATTATGGAGAATTCGACATCTGAAGGGAAGCACGGAATACAATGGACTTCTCAGAATCAATTAGATGATTTGAACTTCGCAGATGACCTAGCCCTCCTCTCTCATACACACGAACAAATGCAGATGAAGACCGCAAATGTAGCAGCAGCCTCTGCATTCACAAAGGAAAAAGCAAGATTCTCAAATGCAACACGGAGAACACTAACCCAATCACACTTGATGGCGAAAATCTGAAGAAGGTGGAAACATTCAAGTACCTGGGGAGCATCGTTGATAAACGAGGAGGATCGGATGCAGTTGTAAAGGCGAGGATTGGCAAAGCAAGGGCAGCATTTTTACAATTGAAGAACATATGGAACTCAAAACAACTATCAAAGAACTTCAAAGTGAAAATCTTCAATACGAACGTCAAGACAATTCTACTGTACGGGGCTGAGACGTGGAGAACTACTACGACCATCATCAGGAAGGTACAAGTATTTATAAACAGTTGTCTACGCGAAATACTCAACATCCATTGGCCGGATACCATCAGCAACAGCGTTTTATGGGAGAGGACAAATCAGCTTCCAGCTGAAGAGGAAATTAGGAAAAGACGTTGGAAGTGGATCGGACATAAATTAAGGAAATCACCATTGTGCATCACGACTCAATCCCTAACTTGGAATCCGGAAGGGAAGCGGAAAAGAGGAAGGCCAAAGAACACACTACGCCGGGAAATAGAAGCAGATATGAAAAGGCTGAATAGCAACTGGAAAGGAAGGCTCAGGACAGAGTTGGATGGAGAATGTTGGTGAGCGGCCTATGCTCCTCGACGAGGGGTAACAGGCGTAAGTAAGTTTTAATGGAATAATTGAAAAAAGGAACTAATAACTCACACAACATCACTGAAAGCAATATTGATCATTACATAAGATGCAACTGGTTTACAAAAGAAATGAATCCCACTTACCAACTGCTGCATTTTTCAATCCTTTACACTTTTTCTTTTTCGGTTTACCATCTACATAGACCACTTGATATGGTTGACCATTTTGTGCAACAAAACATTGACCTTGTGGATCTTGTGGACCTGGTTGATAACCACTATATGAACTTGTCCCAGGCATATAAGCACCTGGTGCTGCTGGTCGTGCAGGTGGCACTGCTGGTGGAACATAATTATTAGTTGGATATCCATAATTAGGTTGACTAATCGGGGGAGGAGGAGGCCCATAACCACCTATAAAAATCATAAATATTTATCAGTATGGAGGTTGTGGCAATTGTTGAATGTAAGTATGAGATCACAAACAGATGTAAGTTAAACAATCATTGAAAAGCTGGAAACACTTTGGACAACTGTTTTGTCCAAACAAAGGGACCATTCAACACTCGTCATGTACAACCCTACACCACAAGATGTTCAATGATCACTTAAGTTAAGTCGGTTTGTGGTTTCAAAAAGAATTTGTATGTTAAATGAAAAGATCGTCTAAGAGAAATTCACATACCAGGATTTCCACCATAAGCAGTTGGATCAGGCACTAAAAATTGAGAAGATGAAAGAAAAACAATCACAGAAGCTTATTTCAAGTCTAATAATAGTATACAAAGAACAGAGATTGACAAATTGATTTTATTTCAATCATATGACAAGTCAACTAATATTATCACATGAAATTATTCAAATACAAATGGAAAAACTGAAATATGACAAAAAGCCGTAGATTTTTAGTCACATCTATTGGATGTATTTATTGTAAAGTGTCAATGAATGCACTTAGCACTGTTTGATTGAATCTTCACATTGATGTTTAGGATGGCAATTGATCAGTCTCTTATTGGCATGTATGTATACTGTGCGTATTGCCTCGATATAACCTTAATTCACCCCATCACACAAGCAAGTGGCTATCAGAACTCAGTAGCTAAGTGGATAACGTGATGGCGTTTGAAGTGAAAGGTACTGGATTTGAGTCCTAGAGTGAACATCAACACTGAGATGCAGGTACATCCAGCTGAAGAGTCCAAAATAGGACGAAGTGCCGCGCATCCTGGATTTCACTGCTAGACACTATCCATCTTTTCTTATAATGCTTGTGAATTAAGGCTATATCGAGGCAATACGCATAGTATGCACATATGCCAATGAGAGACTGATCAATTTCAGTCCTAAACACCAATGGGAAGATTCAAACAAACTAGGAATGTGAACGTTTTATTAAAATAAATAGAATTACGACTAGTCAGATCAAATATTTGATCTTTGCTGATTATATATAATGCTAATTTCGACATTCACACCAGAATCCTAATGTGTATTGAATAGGATCCAAACGTGACTCTACAGATGATTATCACAGAATGTCAATGTTATATCTCTCAATTTTATTGCTAAATACTTGAGAATAGAAACCATTATCAGGAGTTTTGTGAAGATTTCAGTATTTTCATAGTTGAAATCATGAGTCAATTGAAGCTAGACAACCAAGGAAAACCTAGAAGCACTGGACGGCCGTTTCGTCCTGTTGTGGGACTCCTCAGTGTCAGTCGCATCCACGACCTCACCTCGCGAGATTTGCAATTTTCACGATTTGAATAATATGAAGACAATTTGCTGACGATTTATTTGGAATCCAACATAAATCAAAATGTATTTTTGATATACACTGATTTTGATATGATTTATATTAATTAATAGCCAAATTTGTGTACATATTGAACTGTGTAGTATATTGACATGGATTATTCAATGATTATCTGACTAACATGGATATTTACATGATCATAAAATTAACCCCTTCTAAGGGAAAAATCTAACTAATATGAGCACTCCACCTTAAACTAACTGTGACTATATGACATCGAGATGATTGGAAATCAATATCATCTGTCAGCCATACCCAAATTATATAAGTTCTTGGTCACTATATCAATCGAAGACTACTGAACCTTAAATACGATACAACGATGGTAGAGTGGAGGACAAAACATTTGTATTTGACTTTAGTTCATGTAATCAATCCACCTTGAGCTGTCTTTTAGACATGAGGAACCAATCTGACCCTGATTGAATTCTGTCATTATTTCTAACAATCTTGAAGTGATGTGAACTATGGAATTCAACTATTCCCCGAAAGCCATTCAATATCTATAGAATTTTTCTTGATTAACACTTTATGAAAACAATATAAAAATATTATTATTATTACTTCCAAAACCGATTGATCCTGGAGGTTGAGCTGGTGCCGGTGAAGGTTGATATGGCGGAGGAGCAGATGGAGGTATTGAAGTCTGTTGAAACTGAAACACAATTGTATTTTGCTATATAACAGATGTGAAGGTACTTTACGATATATATATATATATATATATATATATATATATATATATATATATATATTTAAACATAACTATTGGTGCAAGGGGGCACCAGATATATAGCGCCACACAAAACAATGAAAATGGGAAGAGAAAGGGGTAAGGTGCATATAAAAAAAATAAGAGTAATGGTGGGAGAAACTGAAATTTACAACCAAAAGAACTCTCTCAGTTAAGGAGGTTATGATCGCTCTTCATAGAGAAAGTAAAAGAAGGTTACAGCAGGATCGCCATTGGCTTACATTCTGAGCCATATCTGATAACGTCTCTAGCCACTGTGTCGCACCATCTGTCGGACCCCAGCCAGGGAGTCGTGAAGGTCCAACAGAAGCTAGTCCTTTGCAACTTTCTTTCATGCCACGACACCATATCATACACTGACCTCCTCTCCGCTTTCTCCAACCAGTCCCAGAGTCGGCAAATAATGCACGACGTGGAAGTCTCTGGGACGACATTCGTAGAACATGTCCAAGCCATCGAAGTCGGTGTTTCAAGATGGTGACACCAATTGAATTATCGTCTCTGTGCCCGAACACACGATGCCGAACCTCTGCATTATTAACATGGTGTTGCCACTGGATGTCAGCAATCCTTCGGAAACAACGGTGATCGAACACAGAGAGTCGTCTAACATCCTCAACTCGGAGAGGCCAGGTTTCACAAGAATAGAGCAAAACTGCTCTCACCGACGCGTTGTAGATCCGACCTTTTATAGCCAGACTAACATCACGAAGGCGCCAAAGATGGCCCAGATTGACATAAGCCGCTCTGACTTTCACTATACGTGCATCGATCTCAAATATATATAAATATATATAAATATATATATATATATATATATATATATATATATATATATATATATATATATATATATATATAATGATTTGTTACTCAGAAGGATGTCTATCAAATGAACTGGGTAGTTTTTTAATTGTGAAGCTCTCACTGTTTTTCTAGACCGTGATCATTAGTACGTACTTTAAACAGGCCAAAACTACACTTTAAGGATGAGTTTAAAACAACGACGATGAAATTACAACTACTTCATAGCCAATCAAAAAGTAGCTCTTATAAGAACAGTTAGTTTATAGAAAACAAGTCAATGATAACGTAAGAGTCCCGAACATTGTTCCTACTTAGGGTTAGGTACATAGGATAAGGATTAAAGATTAAGGTTTTAACTAAGAACTGACATTAGTTATCATGAAAAAAATTCTGTTTAGTCATATGAATGGGCAGATTTCGCTCAAAAGTCCGAGTAATGCTATATGATTAGTTCACCTATGAAATGTAGTCCCACCAGATTAAGACGTTTTTAGGGATTAATTCAGAGATATTGTCAATTCGCCAGTTATATGCATTTTACAGAGAATTGAGTATTTGATACGTTTAACACTATCGCCAATTTGTTGTGATTTTATGCTCGACTAATCATCACGTGATTTATTCACCAATCGAAATGCGACTTTTTTCTGGTTAGCGTTGGAAGTGGATCGGACATACATTAAAGAAATCACCAATGTGCATCACGACTCAATCCCTAACTTGGAATCCGGAAAGGAAGCGGAAAAGAGGAAGGCCACTACGCCGGGAAATAGAAGCAGATATGAAAAAGATGAATAGCAACTGGAAAGGAAGGCTCAGGACAGAGTTGGATGGAGAATGCTGGTGAGCGGCCTATGCTCCTCGACGAGGGGTAACAGGCGTAAGTAAGTAAGTAAGAAATGAGACTTATACAATCTTAGTATTGTGCCAAACCAATGAAGTTCGATCGGTATGAGCAGCCTACAGCCTTTATCGGTTCTTTGTTCTCCTAACACTTCCAGTTGAGTCCAGAACGCCAATAATAGCTTCCACTATGTGAATCATTTATTTCAAGCATACTTGGTTTATATACCAACCAAACAGACCACACTACGCCATATAATAGGAAATAATATTTGTACAAGATCAAGCCAAAAAGTGGTTATGATTGTGGGAGACTGTAATCAATAAACTGTATATAGTTTAAGAATAGTAAGTCGTATCATAATAGTCTATAGGTCAAACGTGGATGTACATAATCTAGTTGCTGAATAGTTATACGATAAGAATATATAGATTATATCAGTCCATTAATAGATCTTACAAGTTACTTATAATTTAATCTTCATTAGGATATAACATTAACCACTAAGCACCCCTTTGATTATTTACCAAGTACAGATCTATGTACTCCATCTTCGTTATGTAACGGGTAATTAAACAGTCCAACTGTTCGAATCAAATCATATTAAGCAAAGGGTCAGTCAATCATTCATCATGAATGTAAGGAGTTTTAACGTGTGACCTAGTGGCTCGAAGTAGAATGCTTTAAAAACAAAAGTAAAGCAGCAAGGTAGAAACCAAATGAGTCAAAATGATTAGTATTAAATAGTGCTAAAATACTTAGACGTTTAGAAGGAGTCAATTAAACTGAAAGTATGGAGTAATATTCAAACTATCTACTTAGATATATTTCATGTTTATTTATTTGTTGTGCCAATGGCAACCGATATCGAGTTACGTCACCATATAAAGTTCCTAAGCACTGGATAATCAGTCTATATTTACCAATTTCATGTTCGTCTAGTCCTAAGTGCTGCTGATCGAATTGTATCGATTGAGTTACAATGTACACATTATTGTCTAAGTGACTCAATGTTGTGTTTGCACTATGTTCAAATGTCAAGTAGTTGAAGGTTCGAACCCATCAGACAGTACCATTCTTCTGAAAAATGCTAACTGGCTCAAAACCTGAGTCAAACAAGGTCTCCGGTTGATTATCTCCAGCTGACTAACATAAAAACAGTAATTGTAAACAAATATGAAAAAGCAACAAGATTAAACTATTGAAATACTACTACTCACTAATGACATTAACGCATTTGTCCATGAGCTAAAGTAATGAAAAGATAATAGGATGAATGAAATCACAATGTAGATTGAAAATGTATTCGATTAAAACAGCTTAAATTCAAACTCTATATACACAATCAGAAGGGGATTTTTGTGGAGATTTCAGTATTTTCAAAGTTGAAACCATGAGTCAGTTGAAGCTAGACCACCGTGGAAAACCTGGAAGCATTGGACAGTCGCTTCGTCCTATTATGGGACTCCTCAGCAGAGCGCATCCACGATCCCGCCTCGCGAGATCCGAACCCAGGACCTACCAGTCTCGCGCCAGAGCACTTAACCGATAGACCACTGTGCCGGCATTCAACAGTGTTAATGTCTAACTTCAACATAAACTAATCTCTGAATAATATTAATTGTGAAAAATAAAAAACGCTAATGGTGCATCAGTAAATTTTTTCCCAGTAATCATTGTGTTTACAAAGCAGTGACACAGACAGTGATATTTTAAGATAAATTTCATCCGGATTCTTTAAAATCCATTGTAAATTTAGTCAAGGATCGAGAGCAGTTGGGAATGCCATGAAAGTTCAGACAGTAGTTAATTTTTTCACCTTAGTGAAAAAACCTTCCAGCAGTGCCCAATCGCGACATCACTGCCCATCAATAATGACTACCTTGCTCCCAACAAATGAGTTAAACTATTCACGGCTTTATACTGCACACACCCTACACATTTTTTCCGTACATAGGGTTGTACAGCTGACGTGTGCCCCCAAATGTTTTGGTACGACTGATGGTGTGGACAGTCAGCATGATTCTCAAAATGCTCTCATATGACCACGCGTATACAGCCACAACCAGGAAAGTCCTGTTCACTTCTTTCCCTCAGCTGGGGTGTTCTTTATGAAATTAAGAGGAGGAAAATCGAATATCCGGAGCTTTAACCAGGTTAGTGGATATGGAGAATCCACATACGGGAGTTGGAAAATCTTGATTCCAAACCAATGGTCCACATGTACTACAGGATCTTGATGGAAGAAATGGCGCATGAACGTATTGTTGGACACCGACTACCATGGGACTAATTTTCCTAAAGTTGCTTCACTGCATTGTGGATTGGACCTCTAGGTCAAAGGTTCGGGAAGTAGCTTCCTAAGAAAAGCAACTACTTCGGTTTGGGCACTCGGACAGTATTCCAGCCCTCACACAAATGGAATGATGAAGTGTAATGCATAAATATTTGGTGCCTCCTTGTACCAATGTTTATGTGTCAAATAAATAAAAAAATAATTTGCTGACATGTAATCTATTTAATTAATTCGCTCCTAATAAAGACTGATTCCAAACCAACTAGTATCTGGATTCTGGATTTCTCGAATAGAAAGAAATTTAACCATACTCTGAGAACTAGCCTATATATACGAAGTTATGGGGTCGACTATATGTGAAGTCAGTGCAATGGTAACACAATAATACCATTACTATTCAGAAACCTTATTACTATAGCCTTGGGTATGAAAAACGGTTGTACAAACCTGTGTGATATACGATTTATGTTATTAAAAAGGGTTTTCAATGAATCTGATAATCAGAAGGGGATTTGTGGAGATTTCTGTATATTTCAAAGTTGAAATCATGAGTCAATTGAAGCTAGACCACCATCGAAAACTTGGAAGCACTGGACGGCCATTTCGTCCTATTATGGGACTCCTCAGCAGTGCGCACCCACGATCCCGCACTTGCGAGATTCGAACCCAGGCTCAGTGGTCTATCGGTTAAGGGCTCTGGCTCGTAACTGGTAGGTCCTGGGTTCGAATCTCGCAAGTGCGGGATCGTGGGTGCGCACTGCTGAGGAGTCCCATAATAGGACGAAACGGCCGTCCAGTGCTTTCAGGTTTTCGATGGTGTTCTAGCTTCAATTGACTCATGATTTCAACTTTGAAATCTGATAATGTTATATGCTAAAAATGATGAAATTCCGCATCTATTACACGACGTCAATACTTCAATGTGGTGTTATTTATAAGTTAAAAAGATCATTTAATAAAGGCCGTAATGTTAAGTGTAAGGTGTCAAGTTATAATCAGTATAATGGTAATACAATAAATCATGTGAAGAAAACGCTCACAAGCCATCTCCAATGTGCGTCATTTCGCTTCGCTCTCTTCTATTCTCTTCATCCCTCTCATTTCCTGTTCAGATCAGTGAGTGTACAAAATATATGTATTAAAAAATCTATTATCGTATTCGACTTTATTAATTCTATCATTCACCAAAGCGATTATGTCGATGAAATATACGAGGATAGCCGACATGTGTATTTCATTTGTCCGATCTCATTGGAGTCAGATATAGGACCACAAAAGGCATTCACAAGGTTTATGTACTTCTGAGGTACATCCTTCAATGACAGACACTGCCACAGAACATCTCGGTCTACAGAGTCAAATGCTGCTTTCAAGACAAGAAAAACAATCATTGTCTGACGCCGATAAGCAACCTGACGAATACTGAGTATGTGGTCGATACAGCCACGACCAGGTCTGAAGCTAGCCTGATTTTCTCGTGTTTGGAGTTCACGAGTCTTAATTAGGCGTCCGATAATTATTGAGGCCAGTATTTTAGACGCTATATTAGTCAAACTAATCCCTCTATGGTTATCACAGGATGATTTTGACCCCTTCTTATATATTGGGACAATCAGTGACTGAGACCAGTCAAATGAGATTACGTCCAACTCCCAAATTTCAGCTAAAATATTAGTCAATCTAATAACTAAAACTGGACCACAATACTTAAAGACACCTGAAGCCAATCCATCTGGACCGGCTGATCTTCCTCGTTCTAGATTAACTAAAGCCTTTTGACTTTCTCGTTCCTCAGTTCAATTCTAATGGGTCTTTTTAATGTAAATTTTCTACGTTCAGTGAGGCGCAAGCAAATGCGTGCTCGTATTAGAGCATGATTAGAGTCTAAACATGTATTCCCGTACGAGCGACAATCTTCTATCGAGCCTCTCCAACGGTGACTGATGGCAATATGGTATATTTGAGTCCATCGTTGGTTTGGTGCAAGGAGTCGCCATGTTAGACGATATCTCTCCTTATGCTTAAAATTATTGCTTGCTAAAAATGAACGATTGTCTGTTGCAGCAGGCAATCCCCATTATCTGTTCGCTTAGCCAGAATACTAAAATACCCACCTAAATGTCTTTCTGTTTCGTTTAAGCTACCTATTTGGGCATTAAAGTCACCCGCTACGAGTACTATGTCTGAGCGCTTAGCTTTCTGAAGAATCTTAGAGAGCTTCCTGTAAAAATCATCTTTCGATTCATCCGGGCTGCAGTCAGTGGGAGCGTAGTCAGAAGTGACGAAAAGGCAACGACGTGTGTCCCTATCATTTCGAGTTCTTACGGAGCCGTTTAGCCGAACAGCACATAGGCAACTGTTAACGGGGATTCATTCTAATAGTGCTTGTCCTGCCCTCATACTTAGTGCTATGTCTACACCCGCCAGTCCACGAGAACTAACCATCGGGATGCCAGATACACGGGGGGTGTATCTCGTCGGCTCTCCGTTTTGGAGAGCTAAGGTCAAGTGAGTGACCACACTAGGATCATGTATGCGTGTTTCGGAGACACAGCAAATATGGATGGTACGAGATTCTAGGGTTTTAGCCAGGGAGGCCTACTGGCCGATTTGACATAGGGTGCATACGTTGAAGGCTCCTACGTGTAGTTTGGAGCGAGGTTTCAGTAGACCTGGGACAGTGTTTCGCGCATTAGAATCATTGGCCATGGTGACACTTGAGGAGGAAACCGAAAGAGGAAGTTTAGTGTTGAAAGTTGAGGTAGAAGGAATAATAGGACTTTAAGAAGGAGATTGATTATGAATACAGTGATCTTGGGTGGTGTTAAAGGTATGAGGGCAGTTATCACTTCCCGGTTGCCAACACCGTGGAAGAGTTCTTCTAGAGGTACCTAAAAAGGAAATTGAATTAGAAGTGGTTTCAATGACCTGAGAACGTGACCGCAGTGCTCAAGGGACAACTGCTTAAGGTCCGTCACACACGACCTTTTTGTGGGTGATTTTTGTGCTAGCTCAGAACTTGTTGAAACCTTACCGCCGGAGACGGATATCCGTGGGATAAGGCGAGGTGTACATTTTTAGGGCCGAACTTTTCTAACTCCACCCCTCCTTGTGAGAAGGCAGCATCGCTGTTATGTTGGTTATCTGAGGGAGACACCTTACTGCCGTCACACCTCTGTACAGCCAGCAGTACGACTTCACCTTCGGTTTGCTGCTTTTAGTCTTACCGTTCTTTAACCGACTTTTCTGGTGTGGTAGGATATTAAGGAACGATTGTTCCAGCCAGTGTAGCCCGATTAGTTCATCACGATAGGCAAGCCCAACCACCACGTCAAGGTAGCAAAAACGGTCGGGTGAGTGGCTGTATTGTTGTCCAACAGCTTGTGTGATATCTTGGTAGTCTAATTTATTTAAATACACTTCTAATGTCGTAGTTTGAACCTACGTTGAGATATAAAAGGCCTGTAATCACTTGAACTGGGTAGTTTTGTTCAGCTGTCGTGTTGAGTGAAACTTAGAACACAAAGATAGTAAAATTCTGTTAAAGCATTGAAAATATACCTTAATGTTGCCTGATCCGGACAAGCAAACCAAGCCATTTGAGTCCCCATATGAGGTCCGTAGAGAATACCAAAAGCCAAAGGAATATCTGAAGCTGCTTGGGAGGTTGGGTTGCATGAAACACGATGAAAAGGTTCTCCAGACGCTAGAAACGATACTACACGCTAAAGCAAAAAGTTAGACAATTATAAGAACGAACTCTAATCTCAACACTTTGTTTGGGTGAGGTGGAAGATGCATTCTCAAACCACTGAAACCAACCATTATTTAACAGCTTACAGTACACACTGTGCCAATTTTTACGATCTGAAATAAAATAATGGTTTAAACAATGCTCGTACCGGACCACTTTTTTAGATAACCTTCCCTGATGGACATTGCCAGGTTTTATGAATCAAATATTTAAGTTAGTGTTTCTCTCAAATATAGAGGTTGGCGACCAAAATTTAATTGTTCCAGGAGTTGATCAGTAAGGATAGCAGAAAAGACTCCAAGGCTGAAAATAAAAATACGAGACAGATTAGTACAGGGATTTTTCTTCTCTGTCAAGCGGAAATAGCAGAATATTGGTGCAGTTAGCGTTTGATATATTAAAGTGGTTTCAGGCATTGGAATTTTCATAACCAAACACACATTCATATAAAGAAGTAGCAAAATATGTATGCGCCACATAAACCACTGAATTTTTGTGCGGGCTGTGACACTGCCCTGGTGCCCAAACCGAAGCAGTTAGTTTCCTTAGGCCACTCCCCGAGCCTTTGACCTAGGTCTAATTCACAGGACAGTGAGGGGACGCTAGGAGATGCGGTCCCATGGTAGTCGGTGACCAACAATAGGTTCATAAGCCATTTAATCCTTCAGGATTCTGTAGCCCATGTGCAGTATTGATTTAGAATCAAGGTCTTTCAACTCCTCTTGGTAGATCCCATTAACCCATCAGGAGGTACACTGAGTAAAATATTACTTCAACAAGATAGTAGGACAGAGTCATCCTCAGTACCAGCGAAACAAACCAGTAATTACAAACAGGTTTGTGTACACAGTCTCGAATAAGGGTTTTGGATACCGAATCGAAATATATTAAATCTCAAATTATTCATTATTTCCTTTTCAATGAATTAACATATGGAGCCAACACAATCTTGACGGATAACTTCCATAACTTGCAGGTCCTCACTTAGAACGGCTACCACGAAATGTGATTTATGTTTAGTAGATAGAGTACTTATGCTTAACTTGGGTAATCTATTATGGCGAGAGAGGCTATGAAAAATGCGATGAATTATGATATTCCTTTTTATTCTTTTATATCATACAGTCCGCAATTATAGAGTTTTCAGGAAAAACGGATAAGCTTTGTCCCTAAGTTTATGTACTTTTATAGTTGCTTTTTAATGAGATTGCTTCAAAAGACTACACGATAATGGGACACTTTATATGAAATTTTAATGGACCGCTATTAAAGAGTGGATGGGTTAAACCCCCGATGTTTTGATAGGAAGTCGATAGTTGGAATAGATAATTTCAGTTAAGAAATGCTTCCTTATTTATTGTTTATACAGTGGTGCTGGAAGGTTACAATCAAAAGTCCCAGAACTGTAATATACAAAATCCAATGAGTAAGAAAAGATACCAAGTACCTAGAAAACCTAGTTTATTGGAGATATTTTCGATATGAAATTGAACTTAAATGGTTCTTAGTTGTTCCGTGATAATGAATCCCGTGACACGAGTAGGGATTAAGATTTATGTATTATCGTCCATTAACTGCGCCTGTAGATCTACAGTTAAAGCCGGTTCCAAAACCGGGTAAAAGAGGAGGGTTGGGCATGGGGTCGGCAACCTCATCCCGTAGAAAACAAGCTTCCTAAATAAATGATAACCAGAATAAACAATTTAAAACATTTAAACTCTGCCCTCCGATTCGAAGGAAGAATTATGACGCCTCATGATGAAAGCCGAAATTCTTCGGAAGTCATCAGGCCGATACCCCTTCTAACAACCACAGTAACAATCAATATAGGTACATGGAACGTCCAGACAACGTGGGAGACCGAGCGGACCAGTCAATAGCTGTGGAAATGAGGACATCCAACTTGACAGTACTCGAAATCAGCGAAACCCATTGGACTCAAACTAGATAGCAAAGGCTAGATACGAGAGAGATGCCGCTGTATTCCGGTCACGAAGGGGGGAATGCTCCACACACTCAGAAAGGTGCTCTGATGTTGACCAAAAAAGCACGAAATACACTTATAGGATGGGAATCTCATGCATCCACGATCATCAAAGCATCTTTCAAAACAAAGGAGGGAATCACAATGAATTTTATCCAATGTTATGCACCCACCAATGATAGCCACAATGAAAATAACGATCAGTTCTATGAGAGGCTCCAATCAATCATAGTGAAGTGCTCAAGGAAGGAACTTACCATCCTGATGGAAGACCTAAACGCTTAACTCGGAGTGGACAACACAGTATATGAAGTTATCATGGGACGACATGGACTAGGAGAGAGAAAAGAAAATGGGGAGAGATTCCCAAATCTATGTGCATTCAACAAGTTGGTTATAGGCGGCACAATATTTTCACACAAACGAATACACAAAGCTACGTCGGTCTCACCGGACCACACCACAGAGAACCAGATTGATCATATTTGTATCAACAAAATTTCCGAAGGACAATGGACGATGTGAGAACCAGAAGAGTAGCTCACATAAATTCACATCACCACCTGGTTTTGGCCAAAATGAAACAGAAGCTAAAGAAACACTGGACAGCTGGTGAAACGGCATTACAAAAGTTCAAACAGCCTTCCTACAAGATAATAACAAACCCAACCAATTCAACATAACTCTCAACAATATGTTCCAAGCCTTACAACATCTAGTCGAAGAAGAAAAAACTACTATGGAGAACAGTTGGAAGGGAATTAAAAAAGCCCTAACTTCAACGTATCAGGAGGTTCTGCCGAACAAGAGTAGAGAAAGTCAAGGCACAGACTGAATACACTGAAGTAAACAAGCAAGTGAAGAGGAGTATTACAGCCGACAAGCAGAAATACGTTAAAGATCTACCGACAACGATGGAAAAAGCTGCAAGAGAAGGAAATATGAAACAACTATATGATACAACGAAGAGACTAGCGGGGAAACACTAAACCACGGAGACCAGTCAGGGATAAAACGCAAGACAATCACCGAGATTCAACAACAGATGTATGGAATACTTTGAGAAAGTCTTGAACAGACAAGCTCCACTGAATCCACCAGACATAGAACCAACACCTACAGACCTTCCTATAGATGTCACTCCACCAACGACGGGAGGAATCACGATGGATATCAGACAAATCAAGAGTGAGGAAGCAGCAGGACCTGACAATATACCAGCTGAACCTCTGAAGTTAGACATAAAAGCAAATGCAAACGTGCTCCACGTTCTATTCAGGAAGATTTGGCAGGAAGAACAAGTACCGACGGACTGGGAAGAAAGACACCTCATCAAGATACCACAGAAAGATATGGGCAAATGTGAGAACAACAGAGGCATCACACGACTGTTTGTACCAGGAAAAGTTTCCAACAGAGTGTTGCTGAACCGGATGAAAGACTCGAGGTCAACAGGCTTGATTCCGTAAGGATCGGTTGTGCACACACCGAATCGTGACGCTACGAATCATTGTTGAACGATCAGTTATTTATTTGAACACAAATATTGGTACAAGGGGGCATCAGATATATATGCGCCGCACAAAAAATTGTCATTTCATATAATTATGTGTGGGCTATGATACTGCCAGGGTGCCCAGACCGAAGCAGATAGTTTTCTTAGGATGCCGAACCCCGAGTCTTTGATCTGAAGGCCTAATCTACAATACATTGAAGCATCGTAAGGAGATTCTGTCCCATGTTAGCCGGTGACCGACGATTGGTTCACACGCCATTGTTGCCTCAGGATACTAGAGCCCATGTGCATCATTGGTTTGGAATCAGGGTTTTCCAAATCTGCCCGAAAATGCCCTGGTACGGCCGAGAGTGGGGAGACTCCGCTCTCCCTCTCGAAATGCTCTCACATGGCCAGCGAATATATAGCCTCTGACAGGGAAGTCCTACTCACTGCCTTCTCGTGGCGGGGGTGTTGTTTACGAAAGTGAGGGGTCGAAAAGCGAATGTCCGGCGCTTTAACCGGGTTGGTGGACACGGAGGGTCCACCTAGGGGAGTTGGAAAACCCTGATTCCAAACCAATGGTGCAAATGGGCTTCAGTATCCTGATGGAACGAATGGCGAATGAACCTATTGTTGGTCAACGGCTACCATGGGACTGCATCTCCTTACGATGCTCCACCGCCTTGTGGATCAGACCTTTAGGTCAAAGACTCGGGGTGTGGCCCCCTAAGAAAACCACCTGCTTCGGTTTGGGCACCCGGGCAGTATCACAGCCCACACACAAATAAATGAAATGATGAATTCTATTGACGATACTATTCTCGCTCATATTAGAAGCAAGATCCTTGCGCAGGGCCATGCTAATCTTCTCTGAGCAGTATCACAGCCCTCACACAAATCGAATGAGATTTGTGCGGCGCATATGTATCTGGTGCTTCCTTGTACCACTACTTATGTGTATAAATAAATAAATAAATAAGAAGCAAGATAATTTACACTATTATTATTATTACCATTATTATTATTATTACTATTATTACTATTATTTAATACGTCGCTTTTTCACTCCCTTCATTCCCAAATTGTGTACCCTTCCTTTCCAACTTATGCAGTAGCTCGCCCATGGTGGAAACTCTGTCCTATCTAAACGATCTCCAGTCACTGTCTGGTTGAAAGTGAATGCTTCCACCGATAAGGAATACTGAAGCAGTCTTTCTGAAACCACGTACGCCGTTCAAGCTGGCTTCCTTCAACGTTCGCACACTAATGCATATCAGACAACAGATGGGGCTGGCTATGTCTTTAGAAAGTCTTAATGTTGACGTTTGTTGCCTATTCGAGACCCGTATTCAAGACTCTAGTGAAGTACTACAAATTCGTGATTGGCATCCCATCATCCTCTTTTCTCATAGCCCCACGAACTTCAAAACATACAGCTTGTATGACAGATTCACTGGGAGAGACCAAAAAAGATTGATTAGCGTCCAAGTTTAATTAACTATATATCGGTCAAACTTCTGACCATTAACTGTAAAATTCATCAAGTAGGCGATTGTTTCTCTAGCACAAAATCACAGAGAATTTATGAATGCAATGAAAAATATACTGAAAGTCAAACAGCTGATTTATTATTGAAAAAATAAACACAAATGAAGTCACTGAAGATTAATGATCCAAACTCATACCAGATTATTAAATGCCAA